CGTTGCTCATGTGTGTGGGGTGACGCCTACTCGTGGCGTCTACTGAGTCCGCAACTGTCTACGGTCCCAACGAAGCATCGATGGCACTTGAAGACCAATGCAGAAACGGGCATGCACATAAGTTGATGGGATTAACTGGAAGCAACATGCGTCTTAGACCGTGCCGTACGAGACGGTGACCGAGACGTTCTCCATGTCCTTCTCAGCCGGCGACACAAAGACGTGGGCAAGACCGCCAAGGACAAAGAGGCCGTAAAGAAGGAGCCACGGCCACACAATGTAGAGCGCCGAGAAGGCCACGTACTCGAGGCGGAGAACGAGGAGCATCTGTGGGCCAAAGACGAGGCCAAGCGAAACTACGAGCCCAACAAACGCGAGCAACGCGCGGAGAAACGACGGCTGCGCGTTCTCTTCGGTCGCCGACATCATGCTCACAAACACAATCGAGGGCTATGAGGCAGAGAGAGCGTGAGAAGCCGCCATTTCCCATGCAAATCAACGTACGAGGACAAAGACGATGACGAACGCTGGGAGCCACGTCGGCAGCAAGATGACGGCCCAGCTCCACGAGAGCTCCATGTCGAGCTTTTGCGCCACAAAAATGGCCTGGAGGACTTGCAGCACGGACGTGATCGACGGGTCAAAGATCATAACGAGGCAGTACGGCAGCGAAATATAGCTCCACTTCCACGCGAGGTGGCCGTCGAGGCGCATCGTCACGAGCACTTGCGTGAGGATCGTAAAGACAAGGCTGAGCATCTGGATCCTAGTCATCATGAAGGCATGAGTGTCATCTCGCCACGCTACACACAAGAAACGCACTTGGTCATAATCGTGCTTGGCGTCGTCGAGAGGAGCGCCGTCGTATCGGCGTTGATGTCGCCCTCGACAACAGTGTTGACCGTGTCGTGCGTGCGCGTCAAGTGAAAGTAGATGGGGAAGAGGAGCGCATCGAGGATCCAGAGCGGGATCAACGTGTGGGCCCACGTCCACGCAATGTCGCCGTCGCTCTTGAGCGCGACAAACACTAGCCAAGTGCAGAGTCAAGCATCCGAAACGCCAACATCAAAGCGTGGGCGTACGTGGCAGCAGGAGAAGCGGGAGCGACGTCAGCAGGCTCAAAACGTACGCGCAGAGCTTCGTGCCTGTGCTCGGGTTGGACGAAATGTGCACGGAAAGGGTCTTGGTCACGTAGCCCGTGATGCCGCCGGCGTTGACGACGGCGCGGGGCACGTCGGCAAAGCTCGCGGGAAGTGCGTCGAGCGTTCGAGTCGACATGACGATGAGGGAACGATGTAGCTTGTAGCGGATTGGAAAATGAATCTCAATTGCCAACGAGGCAACGGGAATAGAACCGGCGAGCACAAAAGCAAGCCCCGCGGATCATCTTTGGGTGACATGCGACAAAGAAATGCACCTTTCGACATCTTGTAGACACAAGCTTGAAGGACGAGGACACATCCTCGCCGCAAAGGCGCGGCCTGAAATTTGGACGCGATCGCTGCGTGGCGGTCACACCGCATATGTTCCAGGTGCCGTCCCATACGGGATACCGGTATAAACGCCGGGCACCGACCGATGTACCACGGACCGAAGATGAAGAAGGGCCGGTTTTGCCCGCGTCGACGCTCTCTCGCACCTGCCGCGCAAAGACGGGGTCGCCCGTCGGGCTCGCTATTCCAATTTTGGGTACCAAATCAGGTCGTGTCGCCACGGCGCTGCTACGGTGAGGACACTCGATCGACCTGGTGCTTCGCCTACGAGCCTTTTTGCCGGCGACAACGTCGAGATAGCTAGCGTCTATGCAAACTTGTCTGTTGATGGCTCACGTAATGTTGTCTGTGATGAGAATGCGGCGCGGCCCAAGTGGCTACTTCATAAACAAGCCCTGTGTATTGCCCTACTGCCCTAGCCCTCGCCGCGCCAGATCCGACTATGCGGCAGGCGGAGCTCGAGTTGAGTCGCGGGAGAAGTAGCCAGCTAACGCTTGTAGACACATGAGACGTGCGACGGAGGAATTGGCTCCAAGGAGGTAACACAGGACCTTCATGTCCAGCTCGACGCACTGGACTGGCTGCCCACTGCTCGGTCTATACATGTCATTTGCCTCGAGAAGGTCTCCTCGACTACTAGCATGACCGTTCGTCATGCGCTTGCTATTATCTTCCTCGAGCATCTCAGAAGGGCGGATTGGCTGACGCCGGCCTCCTTACCCTCGAGGCGCCTGGCATCAAGGTTAAGGTAGGGTAGGACGACGAGCAGCAGGACGGTGGCACATGCTCGACTACGATGCAAATAACGAAAAGTTTGTATTTATAAAGAAACTAGGTGGGGTATCAGTCGTCAGAGAGCATATTTACTCCGACTTCTTCTTCTTCTTCTTCTTCTTGTCCTTCTCCTCCGACTCGACTTCCTCTTCGACGTCGGCCTTCTTCTCCTTCTTGGCCTTCTTCTCCTTCTTGGCCTTCTTCTTGTCCGACGCTTCGTCGTCGTCCTCGGCCTTGCGCTTCTTCGCGACCTTCATGTCGTTGGCGTCGTTGTACACCTGCGTGGCCGGCGTCGCCTCCTTGACGTACTTCTTGGGGTCGTTCTTGGCCTTGCCCTTGCCCGAGGCAATGCCGGTGAAGCCGTTCTCGAGCTGGCGCATGCGGGCCTCGACCTTGGCGCGGTTGTCAAAGCCGATCGTCGCTTCCGTAGCGTCGCCGAGCGCATCAACGCGGACGGCGAGCGCCGTCTTGGCGGCGAGGACACGCGAGATCTTGCCCTTGTGCTTGGGCGCGGTCTGGCCGATGAGCGAAGCGTGGTAGATCAAACCGTACTTGGGGGTATCGTGCTTGGTCTTAAGGGCGCGGAAGAGCGCCTTCTCGGCACCGAGGATCTGGACCGTCGACGCGGGGTGCTTGGCGAGGTTCATGAGCGAACCGGCGTGCGCGATGAGGCGGGCACCGACGAGCTCGCCGACCATGACCGTGAGGTTAGGCGCGATGGCGTTCATGCGGTTCTTGAGGTAGTCGAAGAGCTGGCCGCGGTATTCCGTGAGCGAGATGACCTGCTCGCAGAGCGAGCCAATGTTGATGACGTCCTCTTCCGAGATGTCCGTGCCCATCGACACTTCGCAGACCTCGCGCATCGAGGCCTCGACGTCCGACGAGAGGATGTCGGAGAAGTCGAGCGACTTGACGTTGGTGCGGATGCCCATCTTGACGACCGTGCGGGCGTACTGGAGGTTGTCCGTGACAATCTTGCCCATCTCCGGGAAGTGCCAGCCGAACCACTCACGGACGCGCATGGCGTACGTGTTGATCTCCTTGTCGAGTTCGTCGAGGAGGCCGATGGCCTGGACGATCATCGTGTCGACCTTATCGGCGCTGAACTTGAGCTTGTAGCGCGAGAGCGAGTGCGAGAGACCAAGCGTCATGTTCTTGAGGTCCTGGTCCTCGAGGCCCGAGATGAGCGAGCTCATGTGGGTACGGATACCACGCATGAGTTCGTCGACCGACTTGTCGTGCACGCACTGGATGCCAAGCTTCTCCTTGATGATACCACCAAAGGCCTTGTCCATGACGGCGAGCTTGTCCGAGACGCCAGCGTCTTTGACGTGCTTCTTCAAGAACTTCTTGAGGCTCTTGCCGACCGTGCCATCCGTGCAGTCGGCAGCGGCGGCCACAGCTTCCGTCGTGTCCTTGAAGGCGTTGAAGGCCTTCAACTTGACACTATAAGATCCAAGCACTTAGTCCACTTTGCTCGAGTTTCGCCCAGAAGATAGGCGCGTTTTGTACGTACACTTGGCTGGCCTTGTCCGACGACGCAAAGTGCTTGTGGATGTCATCGACGTTGGCGAGCTTGCCTTCGTCCTGGACCTTGAAGAGCGCGTGGCCGGCCGCGGTTTCGAACAACACCAACATGCTTTCGATCTGAAAATGGCTTTTGTGGTTGGTGGCCAAGCGTAGCCAAATCGCTCAAGGCCATTGGCCAAAATTCGGCCTTGGACAGCCACCACCCAATCCCGGCGTTTGGCGGCCGGGCGCTCCGGGTTGCGCTCCGGCTTTTCCGCTAATTGGCCGAAACGTTCGTCGATGCCATTCGCTGATTATTGGCCAATGGCCTTGTACGAATATTGGAATAATAGCCAATCGATTTGCGATGCCAGCCAACTGGCCAGGAGCGACTGGGCCTTCGCTTGCATTGGTGGCGAAATTTCCACTCTTCTTGTTGCAAAGTTCTACCAAAGTAAGTGCTCTCTTCCATGCGATGTCGTCGTCCGTCCACGACGAAGACGATGTTCCGGGCTGGTCTAATGGCGTTCTCTTGAGAACCGAGACTGTCCTGCGATCATGGTGCGACGTCGTCCGCGCTAGCAATGGCGCGCGACGATTAGCCCACAATTGCGGTGGTACAGACGTGTTCTTACTCTAGTCGTTGCCTGGTAGACTCTACAGAATGGCTGATTTCGAAGCTCCCCGCGGTGTGACCGTCCGTGACGTCAAGCCCGCTGATTTCATCAAGCTCTACGCTGAGCACCTCAAGCGCTCGGGCAAGATGGAGCTCCCCAACTGGTGGGACATTGTCAAGACGGCCTCGTACAAGGAGCACTCGCCCGTCGATGCCGACTGGTACTACATCCGTGCCGCCTCGATCGCCCGCAAGGTCTACCTCCGCGAAAACACCGGTATCGGTGCCCTCAAGAAGGTCTACGGTGGCGCTGCCCGCCGCGGTGTCCTTCGCCAGCGCTTCCAGACCGCGTCGGGTGGTCTCATCCGCCACATCCTCCACCAGCTCGAGGAGATGAAGGTCGTCGAGAAGTGCCCCGAGGGTGTCAACAAGGGCGGCCGCCGCATTACCAGCCACGGCCAGACCGATCTTGACCGCATCGCCGGCCAGGTCGCCCGTAACTAAGTTGTTAATGGAACGCAGTTGCAACAAGAAACCAGTGACGCAAAGCCAATAACATGAGTCTTGGTTAACATCCATTTGTCTTCGTTTGTTCTCCATCCCACAACTTTTGCTGGCCGACAGCAATTCCAAAGGTTTCACAGCGCAGGCTTTTGACTAGTGTCCGTGCATGGTGGTATACGAGCTGTGCTCTTTCGACGAGCTCGACTGTCGCTAGCTGCAGTAGCATTTGGGTAGCTAGCGTACTTGTCCAGTACAAACGAAGTGTGCATCTCGCCGACTTTGCACTTTGAGTTTGCACGACCACGACCGCTGGCTCGCGAAGCGCTTTCTGTGCGCTTGTCGCCGTTGACCAGCAAGAGCACACATACACTACGGAAGCTCCGAACACACGTTGACGCAGCATGTCAAACAAGGGCTCACATTAAAGGCGCTTGGCGAGCGCACGCACTCGCGTGTCAAAGTCGTTGGACGTGATCGGCGTGTCGTGCGTGTAGAACGGGTTGAGAAGGAGCTTGACGTAGAGGTCGTAGACGTCGAGGAAGAAGGCCTTGATCGCGTCTTCGTTGCGGCTCTCGTGGAGCAATACAAACTTGACGTTGGTCGCCGTCACAAAGCCCGAGACGAACTGGTCGTTGAACTTGTCGACGACCTTGAGCCACATGCTGTTGTTGGCCCACATTGCCTCGTGGACGACGTCGAGGGCCGAGTGCAGCACAAACTCGTCGACGTGCGCGGTCTCCTCTTTACGCGGCTTGACGTCCAGCGAGTAGAGCGGCTCGGTTGAGCCCACGACCATGAAGAGCGACATGCGGCGGAGAGGCCAGAAGCAATAGTGGCTAATCGCACCCACATTACGCGGCCACTACCGCATCCATATTTCCCCCTCGTACGCGCTACGTCTACGTCGCGTCGCCAAGCACGTTCACAGCAATTGGTAGCGAACGCTCCCAAGGCCTCTTGACGAGAGGCGCAGGCGATATTCTGCAACACGCGTCGATGGGATGTTTAAGAGGTGTGTTTTTATCCTGTTAAAAAGTGAGGTATTTGGCCAAAAAGACAACAAGTGCAATGTGGCCGGCGTTCCTTGCGACAGCAACGAGCCTCGCGGTGCTTGTGCTATGGCGCCTCTGGTGCATCCTCCCGGTGCGTATCAAAGGCGGCGCGCCACCCGCGCGCAAGCCATCAACGTCCACATTCCGGACGCTCGTCGTTCTCGGGTCGGGTGGCCACACGACCGAGATGCTCGCGCTCATGAAGCGTCTGTCGCCGACGCGGTATGCGCCATTGGCCTATGTCGTGGCGGCCACCGATCACACGAGCCGAGAGAAGGCCATCGCTGAGCGCCAGGTTGATCCTACGACTATTCCCCCATGGCATGCTCATGGGCTCCACTAGGCCTCGCCAAATGCTTTCTTTGAGATTCCCCGCAGCCGCGAGGTGCCATCATCACCTGCCGACTCTCACATCTTATGACGCCAACTAGGTCGGGCAATCGTGGGTCTCGACGATCTTCTCGACGGCCAATGCGTTCGTCCACTGCATGCATATCGTCGTTCGCTACCAACCCGACCTCTTGCTCTGCAACGGCCCAGGTATTGCACCTATGGACTAGCTTGTCTGACGATGCCAAGGGACTTGCATCCCGCTGTGTGCGGCCGTGCTCCTCTTGCGCTTTCTCGGGCTCAAGACCGACGCCAAGATTCTCTTTTGCGAGAGCTTTGCACGCGTCGAGCACCTCTCGCTCTCGGGCAAACTCCTCTACTACGTCGCCGACGAGTTTGTCGTGCATTGGCCGCAGCTCCAAGCGCGATACAAGGCGTCGCGCTACCTCGGCGTCCTTTGCTAATACGAACGACAAGAGTGTGTGCGTTGTCTAGTGTATTGGGTTAAATAGGTCGCTCGTCGTCGTCCGCGAACGACAGCCGGTCCATCTCGGCGCGCATCTACGAAGCGAGGTGTAAGTATCAACTTGAAAGAATGGCCATCCATACCGACTCGGTCCACGACAGCAACTTGGTCATTTGCTCGCCCGACATGAGCTCGCGAAAGTACATGTCCATATCAGGTCCCAGCGCGCAGAGCTCGGCTGCGAACCGTCGGAGGCCTCGGTACGCCTTCATGAGCACCATGAGCCGCACGCTCTCTTCCCGACGCATGGCGAGCGCTGTCGCATGAAGCGCGGCCACCTGTCCTTGGTCGAGCCCCAAGTACGCCACCAGGTCGCTGCTGTCCAGTGCATGGGCCACGAGCTGCATGTCGAGGACGCTGGTCTGCAGCCGCATGAGCGTCTGGCCGATCGCGACAAAGCAGCGCTGGAGCTCGAGCAAGCGGGCTTTGTGCGGCAGCCCGAGCCACCGTTTCTGGCGCGATGTCCATTTGACAATGTCGAACGCGTTGCGGTGCCGAGCTGGCACACCGACGACCGCGTCCAGTGGCAGCGGCGGCCGGCCCCACCGGTGGCGCTGGATGTGTTCCTTTGTGATCTGGAGCTGCTGGATGCCGTCTTCGAGCACCTCGACGTACTTTTGCTGCTTGCGCCGACTCTCGCGCGCCGAGTCGCGATTCCGCTCGAGCTTCTTGTTCTTCTTCTCGGCCTCTTCTTCGAGGAGGTTGGCGAGCATCGAGCTCATTTCGGGTGCGCCAGGCTTGCGCGCGATCTGAACAAACGGCGCGGCGTTGGGCTTGAGCGGCGGCTTGGCAGCCAAAAAGGCCGGCGCTGTCGGGACCATGGGCGGGATACCAAGGACCGGCGCGGTCGGCGGCACACCCATCGGCATCATGCCCATGCTCATCGCGTTCATCGGAAGCATGTTCATGGGCAGTTGCATCATGCCAGGGTGTGCGTTGAAGCCCATCATCGGCTGCGAGTACATGAAGCCGGGCATCATCATGCTCTGCGCGCCGTACGGAGCCATGCCAGGATGCATCATGGGCGCTTGCGCCATCATGCTGGGCATACCTTGCTGCTGCGAGGTCGCAGGGTGATGTTGCGATGGCTGCGGTGTTTGTTGCTGCGGCGGGAGCATGGCGACTTGCTGGTGCATATGACCATTCATGGCGTGTGCCATGCTGTGGCTCGGTAGAGTTGCTTGTGCTTGCAGTAGCGGCGGCTTGTCCTGGGAGGGCCACATGGACGGCGGCTCCTGCGGCTGCCACGTCGATGACGCCTTGCCGTACTCGACATGGCTGTTGCCAAAGGACGCGTACGAGCTTGGTTCTGCGCCGAGACCATTGGTGTGTAGCGCTAAGTTGGGCATACCATTCGTCGGCGCTGGCGTCAGGTGTATGGGCGGCGACAACCCGAGCCCATTGTGGTTGGCGTGGTTGCTGTTGTGGTTGTCGGGCTCGGGCTTGGCCTCCATGATGATGGCGTCGATGAAATTGTACGAGTTGGCACGCGGCTTTCTCGGTGCATCTGGAAACGTCATGTCCATGCCGCTGGCAAAGTTGGCCAGCGTCGTATCGTCCTGGAGCATCGTCTCTTCGCTCCAGTCGTCCCAGAGGTTGCGCGACAAATTGGCAGGCAGGCCGCTGATCAGCATGCGCATGAGTTGCATGACGGCAAAAGCGCAGGCAGCGTACCTTAGCACCGGGTCGACAAAGGCGGTAGTGTCATCCGGCGGCGCATCGGCGAGGCCATCCTACGCTGGCCGTGAGCGCCGTGCACCGACTCGTGCATGGTGATGTACATTGAGCTGGTATGGGCTGTAGAGGTAGTTGCGCTTGGACTTGGAGATCTTGGACATGGCGACCCGGGAAGGAAGAGACGAAGATGGAGGTGGTCGGCGCCGCCGCTTCTTCGGTCACTCGCAGCTTTTGGCCAATAACACGGCGAGGCGATCCTGGCAGCGAATCCACGTGGTTTCTTTTTTATCCTTCCTTTGCATTTTAAATTACCATGTATCGTTGTATTTGTGAGCAATACAATAAAAATGCAGAATGCATAAAATACGAAAAATAGATTGGTTAAAACTAGGTAGATTTTCAATGTTTCTTCCAAGGAAGACCCGTGGGTGGTGAGCAATTATTGGCCAGTCGCAAGACGCGACGCCACCACGTGGACTTTGGCCGATGGAGGAAGCCTCCGAAGATGCTCGCGGCCCAGGCGCAGCGGCTACTGCGCTCATGTACTACTCCAGGAAGGACCTCACCATGGAAGCCTCGCCTGCGACGGAGGCAGCGCGATCGCGCAATGGGGACCGGTAGGTCATGGCGACATCTGGCTGCGTGCTGCATATCAGTTGCAGCAACACATGTAGGTGCCTTGTCGCCTTGGTGCACGGCGCCGCTGCATGTAGCCGCCTCTATTACTTTACTACCCAGCGCAGGCCAAGCAAGCCATGCTTGTGTACACTGGCGCATGCGGCGCGACGGCAGCCAATTGGTGGCGAAAGCGACAGGCCATCGTGTCAAGGAATCCCGCCGAAGACGATGGGAACTTCGCAGCCTACTGTAGCGGTACCATTCGTCTCTGGCCACGATAGCGGCAACAACACTCGCACGTCGTAGCCCGAAGCGCTGTCCGCTGGACATGCCATCAGCATCGCATGCCACGGCGGTTTGCAGCGTCGTTCTCGCAGCATGGTTGTCATACGGTGTAGTCTCCTACCGTCTTATCGTCCCACGCAGCCCAACTCCACGTGTCGTCTCGACTGCAAGGAGCAGTGTAGTCTCATCTCACCTGTCATCTTGGCTGCTGCAAGGCCAACCCATGCATATACTAGTATCAGAGCCAGCAACGTGGACGATGGAAGTGTTGGGATGTAGGATTGGTGAGCAATTACGTGGCATCGGCCTGGGTCGGGCAAGGCGGTTCGAGGCTTTCGTTCTCGTCGTCGGGCGCGTCGGTCATGATCGCGCCGCAGTTGCCGAAGCACGCTATGGGCGCGCCGCCGTCACAGGCCGCGACGCAGACGCCCATGACGAGGAGGAAGATGAAAAGCAAGATGAGGTCCGTGTAGAAGAAGATGACGCCTTGCATGTACTCGTCCGGCGTCATGATCTGGTACATGCAGGACGCGTCGAATGCAAACCACATGACAACACCCAAGGTGAAGAACATGGTGATGACAAAGGTCGTGCCCGAGAGAAACGCCGCGCCTTGGCCAGCGTAGATCAAGCACGCAACAAATCCGACGAGCGCATACGCTATCATGCCGGCGACCGGCGTCGAGAGGAGCACGACGCGCGGCCCGTCGACCTCGCGCTTGATGCGCGTGCGCGTGCTGAAGAACGTCATGAAGAGCACGACGAAGAAGCAAAAGACGCAGGCAAAGACCGAGGCGTGGGTGCGGAAGAAGAGCCCCAAGGTCGTGACCGCGATCGCTTGCATGCTCGTAAAGATGGCCAGCATGACAAAGTTGAGCGGGAACAGGTACTTGACAAGGTACAAGAGAAAGAGCGCGAGCAGCGAGACGATCACGCTTCCCGCGACCGCGCCGCCACTGCCTTGGTCGGCAAAGCTCTGCAGCGACGGAGCGCACAGTGGCGAGTACGTCAAGATGACGGTCAGCAGGGACAGCAAGAGCAGCTGGAGCGTAAAGATCCCAAGCACCTTGACGCGGAAGGCGACTTGGATCGGAAGCGGCAGCGCGTTGATGGCATACGCGGATGGGTCGTCGCCGAGGCTCGTTGCGACGGCCAAGAGCGCGTTCTGCGTTCGACGCTTCGCCGCGAGCTTGGCCTCGGCGTCGCCGTAGCTGTGGACGACGGGAGTCGCCTGCGTAACCTCGGCGTGCAGCGTGCGTAAGAAGCGGCTGCCATGGCGCCCGTCGCCTTTCTCACCGCTGAGGGCCTCCATGACGACGACTGCATCGGGCTTCTTGGGCGGTGGGTCTTGGACGTCGATGGTGACCATCTCGGCGTCGTCGTCGCAGCTGGGCGATGCGACCGCGGGGCCGCCAGCGCTCTCAATCGCCGGAGCGGATGCATCGAGGACGTCGACTTCGTCGTCATCGCTCTGCATGAGGCTCGTCTTCATCGACGTCATGATCTCCTTTGGCGATACAAGGGACTGTTGCGTCTATTTTTAGATTTGATCGGATGGATGTCGGTTAGCCGGTTGCAAAGTCGGGGATTGTAGTCGGTTAAGTAGCCGGTTGCAGCCGGTTTGGGGCGTTGAATGTATGGCTGCCACGGGATACTTGTATTTTGTATGAAGCATACTCAAAGCAAGTGATTTGGACGCATAAAAAGAAGCCGTCGGTCAAAGACAAAAAGCCTCCAAGCATGTCGGACCACGAAGACACGAAGGCGGGCGCCGATGGCGAGGACAAGAAGCAGACGATCACGATCCGCGTGAAGGACCAGGTACGAAGATGCAAACGTAGGAATCGAGGTTGACGTCGCTATGTGCATCTAGTCAGGCGAAGAAACCTTCTTCAAGGTCAAGCCCCACACCAAGATGGAGAAGATCTTCTCCGCGTATGCCCAGCGCAAGGGCGTGCCGGTCACGGCGCTCCGCTTCCTCTTGGACGGTACGCGCATTGCCGCGGACCAGACCCCGAAGATGGTAACACGCCTCCCCGTCAAGCCCATGGGCACAGCTCATGATGACAATGGTGTAGTTGGAACTCGAGGACCAGGACCAGATCGACTGCGCGCTCGAGCAGGTCGGCGGCTGCTAAGCAAGCAACGAAGCCAATGCGTTGGGCAGCGCGCCCCTTACGCTTGCGCCCGTGTATGTTTAAATTGGAAGGAGCTGCCTCCTTGCGTCTTGCCACGTGTTGCAGAAGAGGCTTAGTACATGGAGGAAGAGCCTGTTGGTGGCTTAAGGACCAGCGATCATGTGGGTCTTGATCCAGTTGGGCGGATTGGTCGGGATCGTCACGAGGTCCGTGTCGAAGAGCTCGATGAACTGCTCGTTCTGGAGACGAACCTTGGACCCGGCAAAGCGCCGGTACTCCTCAAAGATGGACGAGAGGTGCCACTGCTGGATCTTGCGGAGGCAGCCGACGACGGCGCCGGTCCGGTCGCGGCCGAGGTGGCAGGTCAAGAAGAGCGGGTAGTTGGAGCGGTCGAGGAGGATGTCGAGGGCGGCGAGGACTGTCTCTTCACTCATGGGCTCCCACGCCTTTCGGCGGCTCTCGAGCTTGGTGTTGCCGCCGAGAACGACGAGCTCGATCTCTTGCTCCTCGACGAAGCTCAAGAGCTGCGGGTTGGGCTCCTCTGGCGCGAGGTACACGATCTTGCGCAGGTTCAGGCGCTCGAGGAAGGGGAAGTTGAGCTCGTTCGGGATGCCACTGCGGTAGAGGTCCTCCTCGATCATGCCATAGTTGACCGGCGGGATGAAGTACGACATGGGCCCTTGGCTGCAAATTCCGAAAATGATTTCATTGGATAAAATTCAACAAGATACCACGCACGGATTGGTGCATCGGTGGAAATTCGAACCGGCGCGCAATCTTCCCGCTCAAAGTGCAGCGTCGAATATGTCATCGATGGCAATCCATACGCAAGCACAAGCAGTACAACGACTACAGTAGCTAGTCGCTCGCAATATCTGAAGTGGGAAGACAACGTGGGCCTTGCTTGGTCGCTCGTGCTGGTCGCTTCACGCAAATATGTACAATTGAGTCTTTCCGACGCGGACTTCATCGCAAAAGACCCTCCGAGAGGACTCGCAGAGCTTGGAAAACACAGCACGCGTGACACGCCTGTCTCTGGTCCGCTTCGCCCAGGTGCTCGAAGGAATATTTTGCGTCCAGTGTTCTGCGTCCATATTTTGTATAGGGACGAAAAGCCAATAATCATCTTCTGGACTGCCGTTGACCCCATTTCCAAATCGGCGTCATGACATCGATGACGCTCTCACGCGAAGTGCTCTTTGCCGCTGCGACGCTCGTCACGGTCGTCTCGTCCGGCGGCCTCATCCTCGGGTATCGCGCCATCCTCGTCATTCTCTCATCATGAGCCATTCCACTGTCAACCATTAGATTTGGCCCCGTGTACACACGCCTGGTGAGCGAGCACCAATGGCACGAGCTTTGCCCGCTTCATATGACGCGCGTCTGCCCCGAGCAAGAGGTCCAGCTACAGAACGTCTACTCGACGGGGTTTCTCTGCGTCGTGCTCGGCCAAGCGGTTTTTGGCGCGACCCTCGACATCGTTGGGCCTCGCTACACGTCAACGATCGCAGCCATTGTACACATTGTCATCAACTTCCTAGCCCAACGTTGCTAACTGGCATTTTAGTTTACGATCGCTGGCAACCTTTGCCTCGCGATCGGCGACTCGCGCGACGGCCTCCTCCTCACCGGCTATGCACTCGTGGGCTTTGGCGGTATGGGCGTCCTCTTCGCGTCCCTCCAGCTCTCGGAGCTGTTTGCGACGCCGTCCATCTACTGCGGCATCCTCGTCGCTGCCTTTTACGCTTCGGGCTACGTGTACGTGTTGCTCGAACTGCCCATTGCGCGCGCCACGTTCTTCCACGTTTATGCGTACACCCTTCAAGTTGCATCTCCAAGTGGCGCTCACAAAGTGTGTAGCGGGCTCGTCGCCCTCTGCGCAGTGCTTTGCTTTGTGCTTTACCCCGTCGAACACGTCTCGGCGGTCGCTGCGTCGGTGCAGATTCCTGGTCTTGCCTTGGGCCGGCCCCATGCAAATGTACGTTGCGTGTCGGACGCTATATCGACTGACGAAGAGTCTTTGTAGTTGTCCAAATTCCGAGGCCTCTACGCTAGCTTCAAGCAGCAGATGCGTCGTCGGGACTTCTGGGCATTTGTTTCGATCGGGGCGGTCTTGACGCTCACCAATGTCTTTGTCGGTGGAGCGATTCCCAACATGGTCAAGCGTCTAGCACCAAATGACCTCGACGAGCAAAACACGTAC